TTTTCATGTGGGACTTTAGTTATATGGTCCCAAAAGAATGATTCGTTATTTGAATTTAACAAACCACATTGTTACTTTTTTCTTTCATTGCCATTAATATTTTAGGTAATTGGCTTTTAAACTTTTCTATAAAGAATGCTTGTTTCCTCTTGCTTCATGATATATTTACATATCTAATATATTCAGTTTTATAAGCTATAAGTTCCCCTTTTGAGCCCAACTTTTCTTTCTATATTCAAGCTCTTTTAAACTTATTTCTTAATGATTTACTTGGCAAAATACTAAAATCTACAAGTAGGTGCCATCAAGGTTCTGATTGTCCTTCCCCTGCCCACCGTGAGAAACCACTATTTTCCCTCCTGAATTGAGAAACCACTTGGCCATTGCTGTCACTGTCCTTCAGAGATGTGGCCAGCACCTCTAGGCCCCATCCCTCACAGGACCTACCCCACTGGGTAGGACCTACCCCACTGGGTAGGTCTTACCCCACTTCCTGAACATCTACTAGGTAGTTGCTTTCTTCCCTGCTAGATTTTAGAGCAACAGCTGGCCTCAGGATTCAGCTTAACCAAAAGCAGGAAGGAGAGTCCCCCATAAAACTGCTCTTTAAAATGCACATATGTTAACTCCTATTCACATTGAATTGTTAATCCAATTAGCACCTTGTCAACTAGAATACAAAATTTTGCAGGGGGAATTAGGGGCGAGGACCAGAAACAAGAGAGCCTGACAGAATGGATCAGATGTTTGGGAAGGGTAAGCTGCCAAACTGGGTGTCAGGAGAGAAGCACAAGGGGAAAAAAAAAAAACAAACTTTACAGTTTTACTGGGAGCATTATTTATAAGTAACAACCATTTCTTCTCCCCTTCCCTCATTTTCCTCTCAAACAGGAACACCACTTTAAAGATGCAGGATTATTTCTATATGATGAGCATTCAAGATCTGTGCCTCCTTTTTCCCACCGAAAATAAATGTCAGGAACCCCACTCTTACTGGCAATAGAAAGTGGAAAACTAATGTCTGCTGAGCATCTAACATATGGCAGGAACTACCTGGCACCTGCATGGGTATTTTTCTCATTTAATCCTGACAGTAACCTTTGTAGCCAGATACCATTATACTCATTTCATAGATGATAACATTTAGGCACAGAGATTGATTTGCCAAAGACCCAAGTACATGACAGAGCCAAGAGTTGAAACCAAATTTGTTTAAACCCCCAAACCCATGATCTTTTTACTAGAATCTGGGATGATGCTCATGACCACACATAATAGCTTACCATCACCATGCAGAAGTGGAAAGAGCCCTTGCAGTCAAATGGGCCAGGATTTGAGTTTCTAGCACTGTTACTTACCAGCTTCGAAATCTTTGTCTGTAAAATGGACATAACAGTAATTCCTAATTCAGGTTATTGCGGGGATTAAGTGAGATAATGCATGTAAAGTATTTTGCACAGTACTTGACACATAAAACACTACTTTTCCTTGGGATAATTTTAAAGAAACAGGTTGATAAAGGAGCTCAGCTCCTCAGAAAATGAGAATTTCCTTTCCTGCTAAGCTAGGTGATGAATTCACTGTGAAAACAACTCTCAAAGGTCTGTGCTTAGTGAAAGGTGCCTGCATGTCACTGGTGATAAGGGAGGGGAGGAGAGGTAGCTGAGAGCATAGGCCAGCAGACAGGACAAGTGTGTCAAGGAGAAAGGACAAATCTAGACTCAGGGTACAAGATATACAATTGGGAATATGCTCGTTTCTTTTTCTGTCTCAAATTATCTGAAATTTGGGTCTGAGATATGGCTCTAGAAGGTCTTAGTGCTGCACATAGATGGACTAGAAATGATGTTTAGCATCCTGAGTTCTTAGAGACAAAAGAACACTTGTGCCTACTGCCAGCACATTTTATAGTGCATGCTCTAAAGTCAATGCTTAATAAATTCTGGTTACTCTGACTGTTGCTGCAGACCCTGGACAGTGGCTTGGGGAGAGGGCAGGCAATGGCTAAATGTGTTTATAGGTTTTTCAACAGAATTAAGTTGAGCTCCCCTGTGTTATGAGACATTCCTTTTATCCCCTACTTCTCCAGGGTTTTACCACGTTCATTTTAACCAGAGGCCATCTTGAGAAACAGTTTGAACCCCAACTGGAATTTATTATGTGAAAGCTGAGTGGGAGGGAGAACACGGATGCCAACAAATAAAACTGAAAATAGGGGTTCTCAGTTTAATAAAATTAAAATCTAAACAACACATAAAAGTTTTGGGTCTTTAGAGGCTAAGACTTGGCAGCATTTTCATTCTGAGCCTGGATCCAAGGAGCCTATTTCAAGAGCAGGGACAGTCCTCTCTGTCTCTGCCTGCTCCCTCCTGCACATTTAGCAGTAGGCCTGTGGGCCCCAACAGATGGAATAATGGAACTTTGCCCAAACCAACGACAACGAGACAAACAGGAACAACTTTGCTCAAAAGCAACAAAGCAGGCCTTGGTTCTGCCAGTGGAAATCAGGAAGTGTGCTCTTTGTAGCTATCTAGAGAATTGCCCCATATACCTGTCTCTTTATACTATTTATGCCAACTGTGTTGTGAAACGATCTGATAAAGCTGGGTTAGGCACTGAGTGCTATTGAGCCCTCATTCTTCCCTCCGCTGCCTCTAACATGCAAACGATATCCATCAGATCCAATCCTTTGGTGGTGATGGAGGAGGAGGAGGAGGAGTTGGACACACGTTGCACATTCTCCAAACAAATACCCGACAACCTTTCTGGATTTGTCAGAATGCTATGGATAGTAAGTGCCAAAATCAACTTTAAAAAT